CCCATGAATGAGGAACTGCATCATATATACAGGTGGTAGGATCAGAACAAGCAACTCCCTGTTCTGCACACCACTTCAATATCAGACCCTTCAACAGGTTGTTTGGTGTTATTGTCAAGTCGGGAAGCGTCTCCCCGGTCTTTGGACACGTGTTGTGGCCTGCGTCGAACCACCTTTGAATCCACATCCTCTCGAACGTTTCCCCGGAAGCAATCACGACAGGATCGTACATCAGCCTCGAAGATATGGGGCATTTGAACACATCAGGGGGGATCGGTCTGTTCAATATGTTGGCCCGGGCAGGAAAAAGATGATCGCGCTGCAGATTATTGTAGCCATTCTCGGTGTTCTGTTCCACGATTGCTTTCCCGTACTTGCTCAGAAGATCCAGCAAGAACAACAGAATCTTCTTCTTTTGACCGTCGCCTTCACCAACGTTGTCCAGCAGCGTTTTGATGCACCGTTTCTCCATCAAGAGTGCGTTTGGCGAGGTAATGTTTAGCCTCCACATCGCAACCTGAACAGACTCCAGCTCGCTCTTCGTGCACTGAAAAAGTAATTCTTTCACAACCTTAGCCGCTTCCTCTTCTGACGGTTCTAAGCTGAATCTCGCACCTCTAAGATCATCAACTAATTGAGCAACCTGGTATGACAGTTAACAACATAAGTAGATGTTGTTGAGCATATAGTCATTAATGTGCAATACAACTATCAGTCACGGTCCACGTGTTGCTTGGAACCCACCGCACACGTGAGGGGGCGTGTTGAGCATATAGTGCAATCCAACTATCAGCTTAAGCTTTTAGTTGAGATGGAGCACATGCTTTAATTGATGTAACATAGGCCACAAAGAACCCGGGAAAATAAATCATCTTCAAAGAAGTACGAACCTCTGCAGCCAGCAATACGGGAACCATGTTTTGAATCTGGCTCAAGCTAACCTCCAGTAAGCTCCACGACTTTTGACACCTCGAGAGTATAACATCTCCTTTCAGAGCCTGCAAATGTAATAACAAAACGCTAAAACAACTATGCACTCTCAAAAGACTAAAATCGGCAGGATGGTTTTGAGAATTGGAAGGAAATTCGCTAAGCATCGAAACAAGGGACTTTGTTCAATAACCGAAACAGTTAAACATACCAAGTAGAGTTTACTTGATTCACTGCACTGCTTAAGTATTAACTTCGCCTTCTCAATGGCTTTGTTCAATAAGCAAAGCGCCTCTATCCCTGATCTGCATCGAGGCCGGGATGCTTCTATCGCTGGAAGTATTTTTGAAGCTCTACTTACTGAGTTGATTAATTCTGTGCACATTAACCGATGCACCTGTAATAAGTAATTGTAGGGATATCAGCTTGATTTAACAATCAGGTAATACAACTACTAAAGTAGATAGAAAGAATGAGTGGGATGATTTCAACATCATAATTATATCCAAAGAAAAATTCATCCAAGTTAAAGAAAAGTTCTTTTTCCCAGTTATACCCAAATAGTCAACTCAAACAACCAGTCTCAGAATTAAGAGAGCTGCATATCGGGGGCAATTCCAGCCAGGTTGGTTAGGCTGTTGACTTGGTAATTATATATAGGCAACATATGTTGGTTTACCTCCTTGTGGTCTGTTGCCAACTAGGGTCACAAGGCGGAGTTTACCCGATGCACGCTCTCGGGTAGTGACCACAGGTTTTCCTCGTCATCCAAAAAAAAAGAGGTGCATATCTACTCAATTTTTAGTCAAAATAGTGATTCTAGTAATTATAAATGGACATTACCAAGTTACCAACCATTAGAAACCCAAATTTGATTTACCATTAGAAATTTATTTAGGCAAACAAAGTGTATCTTTACAAAAATACTCCTTGAAATTACATACAGGTTTCTAAGCAACAAAAAGTGCCACTTTGGCCAAAAATTGAGTAGATTCCCAAATCCCAACCCACTCATAATCAGAGAACTGATTTTACTAAAGAATAATAATCTAACTGAATTGACCAAAAAAATTAAAAAAATAAAAATAAAAATAGATCTTCACAGTTCATCCATCCATTATCACCAGTTTTGTACCTTAATGGAGTTAGGAGTTGGAAGTGCTTCAGTAACAACTGTCTTCATACTCAAAGGAAATGGAAACAGAAGAACAGATAACTTATCTGCAAAACATTAAAAAAACACTGTTATCATACATAGTATTGCTAGGGTAACATGAAAGAACGCTAAACCAGATGGGAAAACAAGAATTAACAGAAAGCTAAGCCAGCCAATTCTCTTCTGAAAGAACACTGAACCAGACACAGTAATTCTTAATTACCTAGCAAAAAGGTAGAGTTATCAAGACCACCAAATAACTACACTTCTGGAAACAGAAACCCAAACCCAATGGCCAATTCCCTTCTGGAACCACACCCACCTTGAAAAGCTGCAAGCTTTCCAGCAAACTTGAATAGAATATTACAAATGACAACTTTCAAGAAAAGCTCCTCCTTCTTCTTCTTCTTCTTCTTTTCTTTTCCGAACAAAGGAACCCGATTCTGAACTGAGATTACAATTTCAAACACAAATCAACCTTATTGAGACCACAGAAGACCAAGGAATGATGGATGCACGCACAAATGTACAAGCATTTACAAACAGCATTAAAGAGATACCTAACCACCCAGTCACATCTTGGGCACCCAGAGAAGATAGGGGGTATATGTAGACACAGTTGCACATAAACTTCTCCTGGTGAGACTGTGAGAACACAAAGTGCGTGGCTGCACGCTTAACGAATGAAAATTTGGGATCTCTCTTCAACAGAACACCCTTGGACGGGTCAGCAGTCAACACCATTGCGGACTTGCGGAGAAAGATAGGATTTATGAATGATCCTAAAAACTCAACAAAATCCAAACCGGATTTAGTTACGATCCTCGTTTTAGATGAAAAATGATTTGATTAATTATTATTCATTTAATATTAGATGACAAGAACAATTTATTTTTACTTTTCAGTATAGTATATGTGAATTTTTTTTTAAATAATGTTTGAACCAAATTTATATTTAAATATACCATAACTAAAAAAAAATTAAATTAATAACCTATCATCAAAGGAGAAATTTATCCTTACCAACTTACATGAGTTAAAGAAAATTAGTCACATGCTCCCTGTTAGGGTTGCTTATTAACCTTTTAATTGAGTTACTCAGTCAAGACTTGCTTAGTATAGAATACCTTGTTGAAATTCTTTGTCAGTTAAGACCTAAAAAATAGACTTTACCTCGTGTGCAATTTTAGGGGATGTATTTGATCTTGACTTTCGTAGACTTTTATAAACTTTACAATTCAAACTTTTAAGAAGTCTTTAAAAGTCAAGCAATATTTCATTAGAATTTTTAAAAGAGGGGTGGTATTCAAAAAGTTATGAACTCTTTTACATATTTTTTTTAGAACTTTTGTAGACTTTCCCTTTCAAATATAAATAGCTGAAATTCATCCATCAACCCCAAGATTTTTAAACTTTCTTTCTACCAACCATGATAGTGTGTTTGGTTGGAGGGAATTACAATTTCATTCCCACATAATTTTGAAGGCAAGCAAATTCATTCGTTTGGTTGGAGGGAATTGCGATTCCGTGGAATTAAAATTTCATCATTTTCAAGGAAATAGAATTGAATGACCCCCCCCCCCCCCCCCTTGATATTTCAATTCCATAGATTTTAGGAAGAACAAAAATAACTTTGAGACAAAATTACCCCTCTATTTTTTTAATCTAAAATTGATGTTTGACATTTTTCTTTCGATTATAGCGTGTCTTCTTCTTCTACTCTCAACACGGAACGTCAATTAGTAGTCTAACCTCAATCAAATATGTTTTCTCAAAACTCTCTTATATATTTTATTGCATTTGTTATCCAATTTTGGGATTTATTTATAACGTGTTACATAAAATTTCAAAAAAAAAAAAAAAATTGAATTTGGCCATTTAGAATTTATGATAATAATAATAATAATAATAATAATAATAATAATAATAATAATAAAGCTATATGGTTTGGGAAGTAATTAATGTTACAATTATTATGTTATTATAAATATAAATAAAAATAGAAAAAATATATATATTTTTAAATTGTTTAATATAATAATATTTTTGAGCTTCCATTGGTCAACGATTTATTATTTTTATAGAACACAAAATTACAATTAAAATTAAAATTTTGTATTGTTAATATAATCTCTAATTATGTACATATTCAAATAAATTTATAAGAGAATTTACATAATTACATTGATTTATTCTTAATTGTATTTCATTTATATTATAATTTTCACAATACGAATAATAACTAAGATAATTACATTTAGAAAGCAAATTTCAAATTTTGTAAGAGTAAATTTAAACTCTAATTGAACACATTTTTTATATGATTATATAATATATTCTTTATGCACATGTCATCATTCCATAAACCCATATGTCATTCTATAAGCCCAAGACCACTTTTTGTAGAGATAATTCAAATGATTTTTTTTTTTCTTTTAGAAGTCATAAGTTTAGAAATTAAGAAAAACATTAAAGACTCATACGATATATACATTTATATATTTAAATTTTTATTTATGGCTCAAATGATTTTTTTTTTTTTTAAATTCTGAAGTTCAATAATTGACCCACGGCCCGCAACATTTGTTTTCTTCATCCCTTCTCGCTTCTGTCATTTCTTTGAAGCATTTGAGAAGATAGAAAAGTACACTCCACAATCTCTACCTGTATAAGGTGATTCCTTAATGTCTGGCTCCATTCTACCAATTTCCGTGATCCTTCTCTTTTGTTTTATATTATTATATTAAACAATTTAAAATAATTTTATTTTTTCTATTTTTTAATTTATATTTATAATAACATAATTTTTTCCCGTGTATCGCGCGGATGAATTACTAGTAATAATAATAGGCCTATTTGACCCTTATTTCTAAATTTAATGGTAGTTATTTCATTTTCTTTTTATTTTCTTAATTTTTCTCATTATATTCCTATTCTTTAAGGGTGGAATGACGTACCGAACTTTATTCTTTTTATTTTTTAATCATTTTTTTCTTTGTTTTTATCAATTATTCTTATAATCCCTCCAAAAGCAATAAATGTGGATGTGGTTTGTGGTATGCGTGCGGAACGTGCTAAACACGTCCCTTTGTCCGTATAAATAATAATAATAATAATAATTAGTATTATTATTATAATATATTTTTGTTATGACCCATACATGTAACATGTTTGTACACTTTCTCACACAAAGAGTTGAATTTGAACATCAGCTCAAACTGGAGATGCTAAACTTCAAATTGGATGTAATGTTGAGATTCAAACTCCGACCAGCTGGGAGTGGCCTTAAAGTCCAGCATCATCACATCCACAAGAGCATTGCCTTGGGGCGGTATAAATAATTATTGAGTTAATACCCAAAATCGTCCTCGACTATAGTGATTTTTCTCAATTTCGTCCTAAACGACTTTGGTGACCTAATATCGTCCCAGACTTTTGTGTTTCGCTCAATTTCGTCCTCCATTTGTTATTCCGTCAAATTGGTGTTAAATAAAGGGACAATTCAGTAATGTCAATATTGATCTTTCTTTACTTTCAACTTGTGAAGTGCGAAATTTCTCTGTCTTGTACGAATTACACCCAGAATTACTCCGGGACCTGCAAATCAAATTTTATATTCGCAGTTTTAGGAGTAATTCGTAAAAAAAAAGGGAATTTCGCAGTTCACATGTTTATGAGTAAATAGATGCCAATATTAAAATTACTTAATTGTCTATTTATTTAACACCAAATGGACAGAATAACAAATGATGGACTAAATTGAGCAAAAGCACAAAAGTCTGGGACAAAATTGCGCGAAACACAAAAGTCTGGGACGATATTAGGTCACCAAAATCGTTTAGGACGAAATTGAGAAAAACCACTATAGTCGAGGACGATTTTGGGTATTAACTCAATAATTATTGAACAAACATCTCTTAAAAAAGTAATTTTCTTTATAAATACAAATTTTAATAATAATGAAAGACTATTTTAAAGTAATTTTCTTTTTATTAAATGGCTAATGTAATTTTTTTTTTTTGAAGTTTTTGAAATGTCTACTTTAGAATAATGAAATGTGAACGATTTCATACGAAGAAAGTACAATGATCTATAATATAATAATGAAGCCAAATGATGGGTTTTCTGTTTTCATTTTTATTTTTATTTATTTTTTTTGAGAACATGTTTTCATACCATTGTTATACCCCTCAGGGTTCATATTGCATTGTGAATTTTGATATAAAAATTATGTACCTTCAGTTAACACATTATGTATCTACAATTAACAGTTTTTGTACATGTAAACAATTAACTTGATAATTGCTGACACATTATATGATACCTACAGATACAGATACTAATTGCTGACACATAATATGATAGCTACAAGTACAGAAACTATCAACTGGAGGTACAAAATGTGTCAACTATAGATACATAATCCGAATGTTATTTTTGGATCAGGCTCTACAATGTAAGGTAGACGACAGTCCATGGTATAATTTTCCGTTTTCAATTGTTATATCATGGACCAGGGTTCATATTGCATTGTGAACCTTGGTCTAAAAATTATGTATGTGTCTACAGCTAACACATGCATTATGTACCTATAGTCAACAATTTTTGTACTTGTAAACAAATTGAAAGCACTTAACATGGTAATTACAGACACATAACATGATAACTACATACACATCAATTATTAACTGCATGTACAAAATATGTTAACTGCAGAGACATAAGATGTTGGTTAACATGTTAGGAATATCTGTAATAAGATTTTGATGAGCCAAAAGACACTTTTGTTGAAAAATTAGAATCCACAAAATTTCATTTTATAAATGTATTAGTGTCTAGGAGAACTTTGTTTTTAGATTTGATTTGGGAAGCAACGCCTAATTTAAAGATAAGAAGATGGAGAAGAGTTCTAAATGAAGTAATGAAGATGGGAGGATTATTTAATTAAGCAGAAAAATGAGTAGAAATTGGAGTCTAAGCAAAATAAGGAGAAATTAACAAAATTGGAATTTAAGTAGAAGGAAAAAAATTCAAGAGAATAATAAAATTAACCTTTTGGAGAAAATTAATTGGAGCAACGTTTTTTTTTTTTTTTTTTTTTGTGTCAACCACACATTGTAGTCCCGCAACGCCTAATTTAAAGATAAGAAGATGGAGAAGAGTTCTAAATGAAGTAATGAAGATGGGAGGATTATTTAATTAAGCAGAAAAATGAGTAGAAATTGGAGTCTAAGCAAAATAAGGAGAAATTAACAAAATTGGAATTTAAGTAGAAGGAAAAAAATTCAAGAGAATAATAAAATTAACCTTTTGGAGAAAATTAATTGGAGCAACGTTTTTTTTTTTTGGTGTCAACCACACATTGAGGTCCGGGTCTTTCTCTGTCCGTTTAACGGTCCAAGTCCACCCGGTTCGCTCCGAGAGGCACAGAAGCTGGCCCCAAGGGAATCGTTACTTGTGGGAGTCGAACCCGGATTATTCCAGAATTCTCCTCCACAAAGAGAGCTCATTTGTCACTTGAGCTACCCTGTTGGGTTATTGGAGCAAAGTTAGTAGAAGAGAAGATGAAGGAGCAAAGATGGTAGAAGAAGTTGAAGCAAGGCTAGCAACGTAACACACGAACTTGACAGCAAGGATTGGTTAATAGCAAGGTTAGTAGCAAAGCTTGGAGCAAAGATAATTTTACTCTTGCAAAGTAAGTAAGATCGAATGGAAATTATAGAACAAGCATTGAAGAAGAATTAAAGAGCCAATAAAGTGG